TTATCTACAGAGGCAGGAGAGTGAAGTAGAAATTGATTCCATACCTGCTCTACCATGTGTTTAGAACAGGAGTCAGCAAACTAGGGCCCATGGGCCAAATGTGGCCTGCCACCTCTGTTGTCAATAAAATTTTATTGAATCATGGCCCACTCATTTATGAATTGTCTGTATCCACTTTTGCTTTACCAAAACATTAGTAGCTGCACTAGAGACCATATCACCCAGAGAGCCAAAAATATTTAACCCTTACCTAGAAGAATCATTCACCTCAGTGGGTTATATAAGTGATATATTTCCATATCATCTAGTGCACATGATATTAAAAGGACCAAAGATGCCTCTATAGAAATTTTCTCAATGAAACTCTATTAGCTATACATCTATTAGACAAAAATCCAGAACACTGACAACACCAAACGTTGGCAAGAATGTGGAGCAACAGGAATTCTCATTTATTGCTGGTGGGGATGCAAAATGGTACAGCCACTTTGGAAAACAGTGTGGCGTTTTCTTATAAAACTAAACATACTCTACCATATGTAGAGCGATCATGGTGTGTGGTATTTACCCAAAGGAGTTGAAAACTTATGTGCACACAAAATCCTACACACAAATATTTATAGCAGACTTATTCATAATTGTTCAAATGGAAGCCACCAAGATGTCTTTCAGCAGGTGAATGGATAAACTATGACACATACAGACAATGAAATCATGCTAAAAGGAAATGAGCTCTCAAACCAAGAAAAGACATGGAGGAAACTTAAATGCAAATTACTAAGTGAAATAAGCCAATCTGAAAAGGCAACATTTTGTGTGATTCCAACTATGACATTCTGGGTAAGGCAAGAACTATAGAGACAGTAAAAATATCAGTGGTTGCCAGGGGTTAGGGGAGGAGGAAGAATGATTTTTAGGACAGGGAAACTACTCTGTATGGTACTCTAATGGTATTGGTATTGCAGTGGAATGACACTATACATTCGTCAAACCCATAGAGCATACACCAGGAGTGAACTCTAATGTCAACTCTCAACTGTGGGTGATTATGATGAAACAATGTAGGTTCATCAGTTGTAATAAATGTACCACTCTAGAAGGGATACTTGATAACGAGGGAGCCTATGCATGTGTGAGGCAGGGGTATAGAGGAAATCTCTGTGCCTTCCTTTCAATTTTGCTGTAAACCTAAACATCTCTTTAAAATAAAAAATAAAAAAGTCTCTTTAAAAAAGAAAAACAACTCTATTAGTCAATGAGGTTGTAAAAGCCATTAAGGTTTACCCACTGTTTCCACTCTTTCCAGCTCATACTGCCTTCTGAACACCATAGAATTGCACTTCCTTGATGCCGGGTGACATCCTAGGACTGGTCCTGATCAGAGAGTTGTAAGTAGAAGTGATATGAATCACTTCTGAGATGAAGCATGACCTTCCAGAGATTTATTCCTTGTGACTCAATATCTGGGAAATCCAAGTTTTTGACTTCCCTGAGTGACAATGATAGGCAGAGTCCCCCAGCTGGCCTCTGATGGGCAGGGAGCAGGGCAAAGAAGCAGCTTTTCTTGCTCTAAGCCACCAGGCTTTGGGGGTTTTTTTCCTCAGCAAAATCTAATTGATCTTGACTGATATAGAGATAAGCAAAAACTGTAATATGCTACTATAATTGTACAACTGTAACTTCTCCCTACCCTACCTCCTCCAGTACAGTCAAAGATTCAGAAGAAGAAACACTGATCCAAGAATGAAATTTTACCTTCAGTCTTCAGTCATCAATCTAATTTAGTTCATGAAAACTCTTCTTAAAATCTTGGTCTTCTTAAAACTCCAAGGAAGAATCAATCTCTCTCTCTCTCTCTGTCTCTCCTCCCCGCCCCCAAATAACTCTGTTATTCATGCCTATCTATCAGGCCATCTTGGTCTGACCTTCAAGCAGTGTGTAGCCTCCCACAGAGGAAATTTCTTCTTTCTCTCTGATTAGTTTTCTGCTAAGAATGGCAGCTTTTGTTCCTTTCTCAGAGATCATAGGAGCAGAATAATCCTAATCAATAAAAAGGCTGGGAGAAGGTTGTGAAACCACCCCCTCCCCAGGCAAACATGTTGATCTTCTTGTTAATCATCATTTCTGCTAATATTTAAGCACCTATTGTATTTTATTTCTCTGCCGGTTCGGAGACCAGACAGGAAGAAGGAGGTTATTGATTGGTTCTCTCAAACCCCAACAAAAAACAACTGGAATCCTCTCAGGAAGTCTTCAGAACAGCAGTTCTATCCACCCACCACTATCCCTGGCTGTGTGGGAGGGTCACGAGTGTTGTGGTGATACTGGAGAGCAGGATGGTGGCGCAGCCTCGCGCAGGTCTCCTCCATCCATGACCCCTTCCTGGCGTGCTCAGGTTTGCAGAATAATTCAACCAAGGCCCAAATCCATATACAAGATGCAAAGCACTTTCTTGACCTGTGTGTGAAGGGCTGGTGGCACCCCCAGAGCACCTTCAGTCTCTGTAGCAGGTTCCCATCAGATGCAAGAAAGCTCCTCTCACTTGCACTGTCAGCTTCCTCTGCTCTTCTTGTCTTACCCTCCAAACCAAAAATATCTCTCTGCTGCATTAATGCTGAATTAAATTCAGGACTACTTAGAGAGAATGAGCAAAAATACACAGGAAAATACCCCCTGAAGCTGTCCTTGCAATGCAGTCTGATTCCTGACAGGTTCATCCTTCAGGCATATAATTTGACCTCCTCAAAAAGGTTTTCTGAATGTTACAAACATGCAGGACCACATATGCCATAGAACAGCAGCTTTGATCAAACCACGGAATTTACTTCCAGGATTTATAAAGTGTGACTGAGTGATGACCCTCTGTCTACCTTGAGTGCGTGATGACCACTTCCAAGGATATCCGTAAACCCAGATGCGGCCCAGGATTCAAGCTACAGCTTTCTGAATGTTAATAACACAACCTGGAATCTTCTTTGATTCACTCATTTTCTCATGAAGCTGTGGATCACCAATTCTGGCTGTTTAACACCTCTCATGACTCTCTCCTTTCCATTTCCTTTACTCCTACTCTTTCTCAGGTCCTTACCGCTTCTTGTATGAACACCAGAAATTACTAACTGGCCGTCCTGCCCTGGTTCTCCATCCTCAGGCACCGCTGACATGGTGATCACCATGAAACACCCACCCGACTACCTGATTCCCTTTAAATACTCAACAAAGGGATAAGAGCACGGGCATACCTTGAACCAGGTAACCCAAGGTTCAAGCCCTGACTCTACTATTTGCTCAGCACAAGTCCTTTAACCACATCAGCTTGTACCTTCCTCATCCCGTACTAGAAAGAACAGTAGCAGTCATCTAATAGAGTTTGGGAGAACCGAGTAGGATAATGCACCTAAAGCTCTTAGCATGATGTTTTGGCATCTAGTAAGTAAATGTTCAATACATGTGTACTATTATCATATGTTCCAAGCATTAGAGGCACTGCAAATGCAGGGCACAGAAAACCTTTCCATTCTCATCTCCTACCAATTCAAACATTGGCTGCAACTCCTTCATCCAAGGGTTCTCACCCTGTGCTCTTCAGAACACTGCTTTGCCACAAACCCCTCCACAGAAGTATTGGAACTTTATTGCTACCTCTAGCATACTTGTCTCCAAAACAGCAAGAGTAGTGAGAATTTCATGCATCTTCAACAAGGCTTTTCATCAGGAGACAATACTCTAAAGTTACCCACATAGATGGCATGGTGCTTTCTGAAAGAGGTACAGTGTTTTGATATCTAATCATCTTTATCTCTAAGAATAATCATCATATATTCCCAGCTGAAATAAGCTACCACCTTGAATGCCCTCACATATACTCTTCCCAGATTCACCAGTAGGGGGCGCGCCTGCATAAAGGCGGGAGCTTGAGCCATTGCCTCACTCTGGGACAGTTGTCTGTTCCAGAATGCATAATTCAGTGATGCAATTTTCTTTAAACTTACCAGAGGCCTAGAAGATGGAAGCATCTCAGCTCTTGCAGTTTTTCATCAACACTTGTCATAACACAGCCCATGCTTGTTGCTATTACCAAAATGATTTTTTTTGGCAGTTTGCACAGTATCTAAAATAGTTACAGACTGGACTACGTGAGTTACCTGAATTCCAAGTTGGCAATGATCCCTACACACATTTCATTTTATTCCCAGAAGTCCATGTAGAGAGTAAGCATCACACGGCGCTTAAAAGCACAGACTCTAGACCCAGGCTGCCAGAATTCAAATCCCAGCTCTGGTACTTAGTACTTGTGTGACCTTGGGAAGTTGTTTAACCTCTCTGTGCCTCAGTTCCCTCATCTGTAATATGGGAATAACCAATAACCTATTTCCTAGGTTGTTGTGGAGATTAATGAGTTAATACGTGCAAAGTGCTTGGAACAGTGTTGGGTACATGGTGAATGCTACATGCAATTTTGCTACTTCTACCACGTCTCCTGCGCAGCTATAACCAAAGCACTGCGAGTGAGAAAAGGAGGATGAGACACTAAATCTGTCTTCTTGACAGCAACTCTGCAAAGGGAATCTTGCCAATGGATTCGACTCTACTTGGAGTCAATGCTCCCAGCAACAGACACAGGTGGGGAAAAGACAATACAAAATTCAAATCAGAAAGGTTTACTTATTTACCTTGGATTCCACTTTCAGAAGCTCAGGGTGGTTAGAAATCCCTATGTGTAAGAAAATATATGGCTCTAATAACTACTAATGCTTCATAAACAGCCACTCAGGGGACTCCACACTATTGAGATTGTTACTGATGAAGGACAATAACAATCCTTGATGTTTCCCAGAAAAAATGGTGTCCTTGATGGTGCCCAGAAAAATTGTGCTGCCACCCGAAACAGCCTCCCCATACATCACAAACATTCCTCCCTCACAATGTGACTTCCACATTCCCTGCAGTAAGAATACTTGCTCACCTTTATCATTTTCACAAACATCTACCCAGATTACCTCAGTTCATTTTTATGGATTTCCACTATTTTTCTTTCCAGCTTCTGCGACTGCTTGGGGAAAATCTCAAACTCACTGATGTAATTCTCGGGATGCTCATCAGGATCATAATCACCAAGCTCAGCTGTAATGAGTGAAAAAATAAAGAGAAAGATTAAAAACAATAACATGAGCAGGGTGCATATGGAATGCCTCCTGTCATCCAAAAGAAGAAGCTGGAATAAGCTCACAAAAAAATGTATCTGTACCAGAGAAAGCCTGAGTGTCTAGAAGCTCATATTACAGTTCAGATCAAACTGTGTGAGCGTGGGGCTTCAGACTCTTCTCTGGGTCTCGCCTTCTTTGTCAGTATAATAAAGGATTTAAATCACTCTCAACGGGGGCACCACTGGCATTTTGGGGACTGAGCAATTTTATTTTTTCAGATTTTCCAAAGAACTGTAGGACATTTAGTACCTCTACCCTTCGGGTACTAGGTGTTAGCAGTTTATCCAGGCACTGGGACCATCAAAACTGCTCTCTCCCAGAAGTTAGTCAAAGAATACAGAATTTCAGTTAGATAGAAGGCATATCTTCAAGAGAGCACTGTACAACATGGAGACTATAGTTAGAAAGAACATATTGTATACTTACAAACCACTGAGAGGGTAGCTTTTAATTGTTCTCACCACAAAAACAAATGATAAGTATACGAGGTAATGTATATGTTACTAAGCTCAGTTTTACCATTTCACAACGCATGCATATTTCAAAACATCAGGTTGTATACCATAAATATACATAATGTTTGTTGATTTAAAATGTTTTAAATTAAAAAAAATTAATACCCTCCCCCCACAATATTTCCAAATGCTCCCCAGGATAGGAGGTGGTACCACTTCTAGATGGAAACCAGTGGACATTCCTTGGGGTTCCATTCACAGCCAATATCCTCTGCATCCAGGAATTCCCTGACTGGAGCTGCCTGCTCTGAGGCTTATGCTTCAAGGAAAGATCACAACAAGAAGGAACCCAGCAGGATTGCACTTAAAAACAAATTGATTGCTCTTCAAATTAAAGAGTATGCATCTAAGTCGGAAGAGCACACCAGATTAAAGCTGTCGCTGGAAACTAATGAGACATAAAAATAAAATCCTAAGCTCCCTGACAGACTGAACACTGCCCACACTTGGCCAAGAGACCCCAGAGAACCCTTAAAAACTGAGTTCCCAGACATGATGAGGTCAGACCTCATTATACCCCCTCTGTCATTAATTGCTATTAGGTTTCCTACCCTGAGGGTTAAACAGAAATCAGTCCTTTGGAAAGACTGCACCACTGATATCAACCAATTGCCTGATGCTGCCCCTCTCTTACGTGGTTTTGACACAGCAACTGACCAGCATTCCTTCCTGGTAAGAAACTACTGGCCACAAAGTGGTTCTGGCCAGTCTATGGAGGCTGTGCACAGAGGGCCTTTGTGTCCTCTGCTTCACCTTTTGATGTATAGGCCTTAATCATAACACAATTAAATGTTAAGTTTCCACCCAAAAGTGAACATGGGATGCATGCTGCCTGCGTGTTAGCCTACTCTGCATGCATTTCCCTTTTGCAAATATTCCTAGCTCCTACTATAACCTGTTGAATATGTATACTTGGCCATCCCATTCAGCATAAATCCTTGTCTTATTCTTCCCACCCTTGAAGTGCTTGTTTCCAGCTTCTGGCCAGAGGCTACATTTCCCCACCTGACAGAATGGTCATCCTGCAAACTGCAACCCTTTTTGAGAAAAAAGCTCTTCTTTCCAAATTTATGTGCTTCATGATTCATCAGCTGACACTAACAAAGGGCACATCCAGAGGATCTTCAAAGGTAAAAAGAGAAATGCCTATACATCTGTGAGCACCCAGAAGGCCAAGCAGAGATGGGTGTGTGAACCACAGCAAAGGTGCTGGCTGGCACCAGGAACACTTGCTATGGGTTCCACGAGCATACTAAGGAAAATGAGCCAGAAGAAGGAAGTGTCGGGAAGAAACAGAAGATACGGCCTGGGAAAGCAGATTAAGATAGTGGGAAAACTGTATTAGAAGAACCTGATCACCAATATGACTTTGAAGAAGAAAAAAATTAGTATGCCTTGAGTGCATTTGAAAATTACAGCCAACTCTCTAATGTGTATCCACTGCCCCTTCATTGTCACATCATCCAAAGACTGGGAAAGGATCTAACCAGGAGAAAAGCAAAGCTCTTTAAAGCTTCTGAAAACATTCAAATTACAGAGTTCTTAAAACAACCTAGAATACACACCACAAGTAGGGAAGACTTCCAAAATAAGACTCAAAATAATATCAGTCACAAAGGGGAAATTGATTAATTTGATCATATCAAAATTAATTTCTGTTTATTAAAGGACATCAGAGTCAAAGTAATGGAGAGATGACAACTTGAAAGACCATATTTTCACAATCTAGAGCTGACAGGGACTAATATCTAGAAAAAAGAAGAAATCCCTACAGATCATTTTTCTAATGGATAGGAAGACCAATAGAGAAATGGTCAAAGGATACAAACAGACAATTCAAAGAAGAGGAAACCCAAAGGGCCAGTGTAGGGAGAGATGCTCAAAGGCATTAATACTTAGAGATGTGCAAACCAAAACAAGATGTGACTTTATAACATTGGCAATAAAACTAGGAAGCTGGCAGAGACATGAGAAAACAAAAATACCTGTGCACTGCTGAAGGGTGCTAGATGCACACTGCTCCTCTAGAGAGTGAGGTAAGGAGTATTTAGTCAAATATTATGACCAAGCAACCCCATTTCTGGGCGTTTTTCCTACAAAAACTCTGGGTGCAAAAAAGGACATGTTCAAGGTTTTTTATCACGGCATTAATCATAATAGTCAGAAGACGGAGGCGACCTGGGTGTTTATTGTTGGTGGGACAGATAGATAAGTAAATCGTGGAAGACAAACCCCTTTGGACACTCGGTCACAGTTAAAAATCAACACAATAGAAGTATGTCCAGCAATATGGATGGATCCCAAAAGCAGTGTTCTGAGTACAAGAAGGAGGGCATACAATGAGTTCTACAGCATCATTTAATTTGTAAAATTTAGAAGTATGTAAGCACGAAACAAATTAATTATTTTATAAGAATGGATACAAAAACAAAGATATACATATGAATCCAGGGTTGCCCTTAGGAGTGGAAATGGAGAATAATGGAAAAAGGGAAAATCAATCAATCAATCCATGAGCTTGAAGGGTCCAATGATGAGAGTGGGCTGTAAACCGATGATTAACTCAACTCATGCTCCAAAAGAAATACACATAACATACCCACCTGCATACACATACACGCTCATGCCCCAGTGAGCTAGCTGCAGACATTAATATATAAGAGATAGGCTAACCCAGTGCTTCCATTTTCCAAAGGTGATGGGATAATGGACCACCAACATGAAACTGGGTCATCTTCAGTGCAAATGTCAGCTTGCAGAGTGGTTGGCGAGGTAGGGGGTTGTTAGTAGGGATGCACTTTTCTTTCCAGGAAATCTAATAAGGTATTATAGACTTGCAATGCTAAACACTGCAAATGTTAGAAAAGTTAGAGAAGAAATGCCATGAAGACTGCACTGGGTACTGGGTCGCTGAAAAAATAAAGATTAACACTGCCCCCATCACAGGCCCTGCTCTCTGATCCCTTAAAGCTTGTCTTTAACTCTGACCTCTCCTTAAGCAGAAGTCATTTTTTTTAATGAATAAAGACTTCTAGCTATTCATACCAAGAGGCGTTGGGTAAGCAGCTGTGGTTCTCCCTCCTGCACATGACTTGCAAGTTGAAGTTGTGACAAATGACATACAACTGTAGGCCCTATGGTTTGAAACCAGCTCCAGCACTTTTCTAAAAGAATTCCATTCTAAGAGAAAAATCCAATGAGTTTGAAGTGAAAGGATGAGTAAGATCAGAAATGGTAAGTTTAGAAAGCAACAGCCTTTCCCCCAGTTTGGAAAGGACACAATCCAAAAGCGTTTGAGAGGCAGGACCTTCATTTAGCTCCAGAGCCAGCCCTTTCAGGAGCCTTCCCTGACCCACCCTTGCTGAGTGAGGAGCCCTCCTGGGACACTCATAGCAGGGACTGGGGCTGTGTGTCCCTCTATCTCGCCACCAACGCAGGTCACAGTGGCCTGTTTCCTTGTCCATCTCCCCACAGGAACTTGATATGGTCATGTGGCCTCCTCGCAACTGCTCAGGAAATGTTTGGAGAACACATGAACAAATGAATGAATGAGGTAGCGATACCATCCCAGCAGGTGACCAACCAATCTTTCCCGTGGTTAAATGAAACCGGCACAGTCATTTAACTAAATGTTAAATTTAACTAAACATTAAATGATTGTGCCTGATTCATTTAACTATGGTTAATCAGGGCACGTTTTAAGCTTTGGTATAGTCTAAGTTTATTAAAAACAGTCAATCAAGCCGGGTGTGGCGGTATACACCTGTAATCCCAGCTACTTGGGAGGCTGAGGTAGGAGGATTGCTCGAGGCCAGAGTTTGAGACCATCCTGGGTAACAGTGAGACCCTATCTACAAAAAATACAAAACCAATCAATCACCTGGAGTTCAGGCAAGTGCCCTGATTCATTTCAGGCAAGTGCTCTGATTCTTTTAACATATTTAGTGGAGAACCTGCTGCGTATCAGACACAGGAAGACCACTGTGAAAAAGCACCCAGATCCTACTTCCATGGAATTAGATTCTATATAGGAGGAAATGCATAATAAGCTCCAAAACAATTCAAGCTGTAAGTGCTTGCAAGAAAACAAAACAGGGGTCTGAGAAAAAATGACATGCAGGAGGGAGCTACTTTAGCTCGAGTGGTCCAGGTAGTCTTATCAGAGGAAGTGACTTCTGGACTGAGTTCTGAATAACCAGCAGAAGTCAAGATTTCTACAGGAGTTGAACACACCAGGCAGAGGAGATAAGTTGATTTCCTCTCTGTGGTGCTGTTTTGTAAAAGGAACAGGAAATAAAGATATTTTTATCAAGAAAGAATATAAATAGATCCCAAGGATTCTGTGTTTGTTTTGCAATTTGTATTATGAAAGAAAATGCAGTGCATGTCTTGAACATGCTTGTTGGATTCAGTTATGTGCAGGCAGCAAAACTCCATGTGATTGACTGGTTTTGTATTCTTTGTAGAGACAGGGTCTTGCTATGTTGCCCAGGCTGGTCTCAAAGTCCTGGCCTCATGCAATCTTCTTGCCTCAGCCTCCCAAGTAGCTGGGATTATAGGTATGCATCACCACAGCCAACTTGATTCACTGTTTTTGGTAAACTCAGAATAGATCGAAGCTTAAAACATACTCCTTGAAAGAGCATTAGCAAACAAGATGATGAGGAATGACAGTGCCTCTTGATTACCAATCACTTACTCCCTCTTCCCTGTTACTCTGTAGGAATAAGCAGTTCTGAAAAGCCCATCTCTATCTGCATTTGTGAATGACCTGCAGAGCTGCCAAAGTGCTCACCCAAGAATCAGACCTTTATGAACCGCTTTTACTGAATTTGCTATAAATGACCACAGACAGCACTGCATTTGAGAGCCAAAAGGTCTTGAGGTCTGCCTGTCCATTTCCCACTCTACTTTCTCCATAGTGTCTCTCTGTGTCTATCTGTGTGGGCGGGGGGGGTCACTGATAATAGTAATGAGGGATAAAATAGGGCCCTGATCATGTGGATGGAGACTCCGTGGCTTTACCCCAAAAGAAAACAGGATGGCAAGCTTTCCATTATAGATCCATACTGGGCTTGTCCTTGGAGAATTGATGGTAATTCACTGATGCCTACATGCATTCTGAAATCCTCATATGCTGGTCTGTTGCTTAGATTAGTATCGATTCCCTTGTCTCTTACCTAAGACAGTGCATTCTAACTCAGGATGTGTGGCCTTCAACATGGAGGAAGGGAATTATGGGATTTACAGTCCTTTCACTCCAAGGTAAGAGAGGCAGCTTTCCGAAGCACATTCTCTACCTCAGTGCTAATGAAAGGGCTGTTTCCCATCACAGTATCGACCATAGTGTTTAAACAAGAAAATATGCAAGGGTTTTAACACCTCTGCCAAAATCTGCTACCCAGGATGAGGCTGTTCCCAGGGAAGGGGGCGAAAAACAGCACCCACACCCACTCACTTCAGCATGCTCAGAGAGACCCAACACAACTGAGAAATTGATCAAAGGAAGAGGATCATAGCACAGAGCACTCCACAGGGAGGGCAGTGAGCCAAAGGGGAATCTCCAGGAGAATGGTGGGTTTCTCAAGCAGTGACAAGCTCAGTGTTGTGGTAGGCAGATGATCATCACTGATGACCAGCTAATGACCCATCAGACTCTCCTGTGTTATTCCAGATCCACTGGAAAACTGGCATAAACATCTCTCTTGCTCTGTCTTCCCCCACCACCCCACCTTCTCTCTCATAAACATGCTGTTAATGTTTATGCTACAAACAGCTGGATCATCTGAGTCCCTCCAGCTGCCTCTCCTGGTCCAGGGGAACAGAGCACCTGAACCATCTTCACTTGGGTGTTTGGCCCATCCCTGGCCATATGATGCCTCAGGCCCTGGAGGCCTCCTTCTCTCAAACCACTTTCCTTATTAGGTGGAAACATCTAGAACCCAACCCACATCAATACATTCGCTGTTTCCCACTGCTCCCACACCCCCTGGGGTTTGTTCAACTGGAAAAAGAACAGTAGTCACTTCTAATGTGTCTGCGCTACCCCTGGCCTGGTGCAGAGTGGTCTCATGAAATCACATGGCCAGGAAGGGAGGATGACTATCCTATTTAATAGATGAAGAAACTGAAGCCTGAAGAGCTTAGGTAACTAGGCAACTTATCTGTGGTAAAACATCTAGGAAATGGGAATTATGAGACTTGTGCTCTCCTCACCACGCCCATAGCTAAAAGAGCTGAGGAATTAGATGTAATAGTCATGTACACATGTATACACATACATACACCAATAGATAGGAAGGAAGGACGGACAGACGGACGGACGGACGGACGGACGGACGGACGGACGGACGGACGGACGGATGGACGGATGGATATGTATAAAAATGCTTCCAGTAATGACCCCTTTGTTTAACACGTATCTTCCTGGATGCAGACTCCCCCCTCAAAATGTCCATTAGGCCTCTCACCTAGCATTTGGCACTGAGAACATACAACACCCATTTCCCTTCAGAGTTTCTCATAAATCCACCCATTCCACATTCCAGCCCCTTTGAAAGAGAGCTTCTGACCCTGATTCTTGGGATCTTAAGGGACTCTGTTTTTGCAGAGGCCCCTGTGAGCATCTCAGCCCAGCCTTCCACCAGAACTCCACTCACTTGGGAGGGTAAGTGAGTAGGGGTTCTGTTGCTACGTACCCAGCCCTACCTGGCCTCCAGCCACAGACACAGGCAGGATGGCCATGGGTGGTAAAGAAGGGAGACTCGAAACAGCCGGAGCTCCACAGTACAATGGTGGTGTGGGTGAGCTGTGGCCAGACTTACCTTGAACGATACAGGCACCCAGGTAGGCAGCATCGGAAAAGGAGCACAGCAGCCGGCCATGAAAAATATCCCTTTTAATCTGAAGGTACAAAAGGTACCTGCAATATAAAAGGAGAAATGGTCACTCTAACTTTTGGCTGAAGTCTGGAAGAAGTATGATTGTTCATGCTTAGCTCCTACAGTGACCAGAGCTTTTCCCAGCTCCAGGGAGTGGCTTAGACATGCCAAGCCCTTTGTAGAACAAGCAAAGGAAAGCTGAGACAGGCCCTCTGAATTCAGAAAATCTGAAGTGTCTGCCGAGCAGATCTTAACAGCTTCCAAAGCTGAGTAGCCTCGGCCTTTTCAAATAGGCACGAGAAGAACTGAGGAAAGCCACAGGACCCAGTGGCCAGAGCTCCTGGCAGCAACTGCCGTGTGAGGACAGCTATGGCCACCGTCATCACCACCTGCATCTCAGGTACGTGCTGCCCAAGCTCTGTTTCAAATGAAGAGCCAGGAAACAGACTCAATCAGTACATCAGGCCAGCCCCCACCATTTCTCAGGGGTAGACAGACTCATTAATCAATCTCAGACAGACGTGGTTTATTATGAGGTCAGAAAGGCAACTAACTGATTCACAACCAGAGCTATCATCTGTGGAGAGTCTCCCCTCTCCAGGATGGCACACTCAGATGCCTCTTGAGGCCAGGCACACGGTGGCCTGTGACATGGGCAAGTCACCTGTGCTGATGCAAGAAGTGCTGAAAGCAGGATGAGACACAGCAGCTCCCCGCAAAGGGGGCAGCCACCACACCGCTCCAGCATAGTGCTGCCACTGGAAAAGCAGACCAAAGGTGTGCAGTTCTTCTTTTTTTTTTTAATTGCTTAAATTATTTTTATTTACAGAAAACTACAATATACATTTCACCCCACTCAGTTTCAAGTTCTTTAGCCTTTGCTTTTTCCAGGCTTGGCGATGTGAGCCAGACTTGGGACCCAGGTGTCCAGTTTTTCTAGAAAAATAGCAAGGGGAAAGCAGGCGGCAGAGCAGGGTACCAGTTTGCAACACCCAGCTCAGGCTCATTTTGCCCCTGTCCTTTCTGTTCCTCCACACTGATCAAACTGTCTTCCAATTTCTTCATCTTCTCAAGGTTCCCTCATTCCAGGCTCAGGCCTGGGGTCTGTTGTTTCTGAGCAGAGTAACTTTACAGATGAGTGCAGACTCTTTCTGTGCTTACTTTATAAAGTTTAACTCACAGAAACCAATTTTTTTTCCTTCCCATCTTCTTGGGGGTTAGGGGGAAGCATCTCTTCCCAGTTATCACCTTGTGATACTGGATTGAGCCATGGGATACCCAGATACCTGGTTCAATGTTTTTTCTGGGCGAGGGTATTTCTAGAAGAGATTAGCATTTGATTTGGTGGACTGAGTAAAGCAGATGACCCTACCCAGTGTGGATGGACCTCATGCAATCCATTGAGGGCCTAATTAGCACACAAAGGCAGAGGAAGCTGAATTCACTTTGCCTGACTGCTTGAGCTGGGACATCAATCTTCTCTTATCCTCTGCTCCTGGTTCTCAGACCTTCAGACTTGGATTGGAATCTACACCATTGACTCTCTGGCTCTCAGGCCTTTGAACTACATCACTGACTTCCCTGGGTCTCCAAGTTACAGAGAGCAGGTCATGGGATACCTTGGCCTCCATAATCAAATGGGCCAATTCCTTATAATAAATCTCATTATGTATGGCTGGGGGAGGGGCGGTGCTGTGTGTGTGTGTGTGTAGCCTATTGGTTCTATTTCTCTGGAGAACCTCAACTAATACACATCTCTAGTGCCCAAGTAATTTAGTCTTTACTCAGCCATAGAAAGAGCAACGTGTGTAATCCCCATTTTAAAGGCAAAGAACTAGAGAATCAGAGAGGGTGATTAATGTGCAAAGGTCACAGGGACACTGTCAGCCCCAGAGCACTGGAGCGCACTGTTTCCAGGCACTGGTTCACTGAAAGGACACTGGGTGCACTGAAGGATTCTGTGGCTCACTGATGTTTTCCTTCGCTGTATCTTTGTCTAGCATCTGCTTTATGCTATGCACTGTGCTGTGTGGGCACTGGGGGCATGGTGGAGGTTCAAATGACAATCTCTGTCCCCAGTTTAGTATTAAGTTGTGTGTGGAGGATAAAGGCAGTGCCTAATAAGTTGCTAATTTGAAGTTTGGTATGCATTCTGTCCAAGGAACAATATTACACTCAATGGGTAAGGACCCGGACTAGCTACCTGAACTAGTGCCTCTCACACTTTACTGTGCACATGAATTACTTGAAGAGTTTGTTAAATTTGATTCTGATTCAAAAGGTCTGGGATGAGCTTGAGATTCTGTATTTCTAATAAACTCCAGGGGGACTAGGCACAATGGCTCAAGCCTGTAATCCCAGCACTTTGGGAGGCTGATGAGGGTGGATCACAAAATCAGGAGATTGAGACCATCCTGGCTAACACGGTGAAATCCCATCTCTACTAAAAATACAAAAAATTAGCCAGGCGTGGTGGCGCAAGCCTGTAGTCACAGCTACTCAGGAGGCCAAGGCAAAAGAATCACTTGAACCTGGGAGGTGGAGGTTGCAGTGAGCTGAGATCACGCCACTGCACTCCAGCCTTGGCAACAGAGCAAGACTTCGTCTCAAATAAATACATACATACATAAGCTAAGCTCCAGGGCTCCAGGGGATGCTGTGGTGCAGCTCCATCAGTCACATTTTGAGAAATAAGGGTCTCAATTGTGATGTAAATTAGCATTACTTGGTGAGGGGAGCTTTTGAAAAATACTAGTACCGTAAGTCTCTGGATCCTACCCCAGACCCAATTAAATCAGAATCTCACCAAAACTTGTACATGAGTGTTCATAATAGCAATATTCATTATAGCTAGAAAGTGAAAACCAGGTGGCTCACGCCTGTAATCCTAGCATTTTGGAAGGCCAAGGAGAATGGATCATCTGAGGTCAGGAGTTCAAGAACACTCTGGCCAACATGGCAAAACCTTGTCTCTACTAAAAATACAAAAATTAGCCAGGCGTGGTGGCTTGCGCCGGTAATTTTAGCTACTCGGGAGGCTGAGGCAGGAAAATTGCTTGAAGCTGGGAGGCAGAGGCTGCAGTGAGCTGAGATTGTCACTACACTCCAGCCTGGGCAACAGAGCAAGACTCCATCTCAAAAAAAAAAAAGGTAAATACAAGACAAATGTCCCCAGCTGATGAATAGACAAAAGAAATAAGGTATATCCTTACACTGGAATTCATCCAACCATAAAAAATGAAATGCCAAAGATGCTACAACAGGAATACAGTTTGAAAGCATTATCCTAAGTGAAAAGACACCAGACCCAAAATGCTACACATGGCGTGCTTTGATTTATATAAAACAACCAGAATAGACAAATCTATAAAGACAGAAAACAGATGAGTGGTTGCCAGGAACTTGAGAGAAGAGAGAATACTGGATGCCTGCTTGGGTACAAAGTTTCCTACTGGGCTGATGAAAATGTTTTGGAACCAGATCATGGTGTTAGTGGCACAAATCTCTGTATACGCTAAACTAAACTGTACATTTCAATATCTGCCAAAAGAAACGAATATTTTGAAACTTCAAATTGTGTTAGAGTGGTGGGTCTCAACATTTGGCTCAGGATTACCTGGAGGCTTATGAAAATACAGACTGCTAGACCCAGCCCATGGGGCTTTCCGATTCTGTATCTCTGGGGCAGACACCAAGAATCTGCATTTATAACAAGTTCCCAGGTGATGCTGATGCTGCTGGTCCAGGGACCTCACTTGGAGAACTGGCCCGAGACTATGCTTTAAATGATCAAATCTTAGCCCTTTTTAAGGACCGTAAACTACCAGGCCAAATACCATGAAGTTTTTTTTCTGTATATTGCATGTATGCATCAAAAATAAAAGCATTTGTTTCTACTTTTTGATGAGTTTGGCAGTGAAAAATAGTTTCAAATAACTATTCATTGGTAAATGAGAGGCTTGGGTTCTAATCCCATAACTCAGAAATCAATTTGGCAAGAGCTTCCTGAGCAAAGAAAAGCAGCTTTCACATCAGAGTTGGGGCTGTGCCCATATCGGTGATCTCTAGAGACAATCAAGGATTACTGTGGATTCAGCATAATCCACAGCCTTATAAATGGCTTCACATTCAGGATGCTCATTTTTTAAAAATATAATAGCTACCAAAAATAATGTGTAAAAGATTAAGCAACAAAAATACATGAGGGTCTGGGCCATAAATTATTGTGCTATAATTAATGACATTGCATTTCTATGTGTGTTGGAAGATGGTTCTTACTAAAAAAAATTAAAATCAACATACTTTTGGTAACATTCAATTGGATAGAGCAGTTACAAAAGCCCCAGAAATCCAAAGGATTATAAGATGATTGCTTAAATGGAGAGATAAAGAAAGGAAAAAAAGAAAGGATGAAAACTGATTTTAAATATCATTTTTTGTTCTTATTGTTATTATTTTGCATTTTCAAATTTGCCTTTTTCTTAACATTTCTTTACTCTTAAGCATGGTCATGAATATGATCTTAACTTCTAATATATCAAATTCTTCTCAAACTTTAGATTAATCCCATAATAAAATAACAGTTCATCATACAAGAAAAACCAAATGCCTTCAAGATTCAAACCATAAGTACCTGGGGCATTCCACAGTTTCTCGATTAGTTTAGAATTCTAAGGACTGTGTTGACTAAGAAAAGTCCATTTCTACTTGTGTAAAAGCAGTGGATCATCTTAATTTCCTTTGGAAACCAAAAGGTCACAATATTCCACTATTCATACCTGAGCTATTTAGTCAAAGGTTGGAAAATGTTAACTAATATAATTGAGAGGTGCTAAGCTATTAACTGAAATGCTGTATTATTTTACTTTCAAATGGAACTTTTCTCAACAACAAAATGTACATCCCTAATTTATGTTGTGACACATACTCAATTTTTATCCTCCAGGCAAAATTACAAAGAGAACAAATGATAAAAGTGAGGCATTAGGATTTAATTTGATCTTCCTAATTACACTGTTAGCACCCTAAGGGCAGGACAAATAGTGTGCGCTCGCTCTCTCTCTCTCTCTCTCTCTCTCTCTCTCTCTCTCTCTCTCTCTCTCTCTCTCTTTGGCAGCGAATTCAGCCCCTGCCCCCTGGGTAGTAATACCAAGTGAGAACAAATTTATCAAATAAATAATTAAAATTTTCAATCCAAAATTAGACCAAGGCTACATACTGTACCATTTCATTTATATGGAATGTCTGGAATGGGCAAATCCATAGAGACCAAAAGTAGATTAGTGGTTTCCAGGCACTTGGATGGGGGCTGGGGTGGAGAATAGGGAGTGACTTCTACGGGGTACATGGTTTCTTTTGACGTGATGAAAACTTCTGGAACTAGATAGTGGGGAGGGTTGTCGAACACTGTGAATGTACTGAATCCCACTGCATTATACACTTTAAAAGGTGAGATAAAATTGTGTCATGTGAATTTTACCTCAATTAAAAAGAAAAAGCCAGGCCAGATTGCAAAATCCCAACCCCTGCTTTTAGCGTCCATTATCTATTAACCTCGTTTCCAGACACACACACACACCTTCTCTCCCCATCTCCCACCCTCAGCACAAACTTTACTAAATGACTGTGAGCAAATTAATAATGAAGTGCAGAACCATCTGCTCCCTCTTAAAGTCACCTCCACGCCACTGTGGTCAAGCTTACCTGAGACCCTGGATAATAACAAGGAAGCAAAATATCCAAGAACCCAAAACTTCCCCCTGCCAATCATCAGAGCAGATTACACTTGCTTTTCTGTTGCATCTATCTGTACCTAAGCAGCTTATTTTGAGAGATGATTACAGCAAGTGATTTTTGTGGTCATCATGCCAGAGCCTCATCTAGAACTAAGTATGCAGCAGCTCTCTCTCCCATCCTCGTGGGGTCCTGCTCACGACATGTGTCCAGGTTATTCGAGGAAGCCAAATCCCCTGAAGGTGCACTGAAGCTGTAGCCCCATCAGAGAAGGATGAGAAGGGAGGAGGCCCAAGGACTCAAACATTCAGGGAGTGGGGCAGAGAAGAGCCTAAGGAGTGGAGGGAAGCCTGCCTTTCAGTGGGTCATTCAGCCAGCAGAATGCAGGATGACAGACAGCGCATTCTGTCAGGGATATTTTCCCTCCCAGAAAAGCTGAGATCCGAAAGATAGACTAGGTACTGCACCAGGTATAAATTTGCCCATGTCTCGAAGACAGACATCTCCTATTTATTTTTAGCACCCCACTATCAGATGTTTTCAGAGAACACCTCCCCCATCATAGCTATTGCTTTTTTCTGCAGTTAATTACACTCCCAATGAAAATTGTTTTAAAACAAAATCCCAAAGCAATTCATGGTTAGAGAAGCATTCTGAGCAAAAACACTGAGTTCTGAGCCTGCGACACTGAGTTCTGAGTGTGCAACCCTAGACAGGAGGCCCATCTAGCCTGCAAGACCAAAGAGGTCCTGGCTGGTTAAAGGTGCACGTTAAACATACAAATAAACAAAAAATACCTTGTGAGCTCTTCTTTAATCTTCAAGGGTTCATGTGGGTAGAATTTCACTCTAAAGCACATGGTGTATGGTGGATGAGCTGAAACATCATAAAGAAAAGGCATGAGAAGAGCAGCAAAAGACCATGGGCTCAAACACACACAGGAAAGGCAGCCGTGCAGCCTGACACACTAGCCTCGGGAGTGGGGGCTGGGAGAGGGTGATTGTTCTGGAAGAAGCAGATATGAGGCCCAAGAAAACAAAGCAGCAGCAACAACAAAACTCAAAGAAAATGCCTGACAGGACGCCCAGAGCAAATGTAGATACCAACAACCTAGTCAGTGAGCTCATTTTTCCATATCACAGCTCGCCTTCATTCCTTCATTCTCTCCAGGTCACAGCTCCAGGGAACACTTCTCTCCTGATCCTTCCCACCCCTTGTGACAAATAAATTGCCCATAAGCAACATTCAGGTTGCTGCGCTCACAAAAGATTTTTTTAGCCTGTGAGGTGGGAAAAAAAAAAGTCACTGCACATGACTAGTTTTCCCAAAATGATGCTGCCTCTGAATTAAAAGTCAGATTTAAAAGATGGAGTCAGTGTTGCACAGATCCTACTTTGCAGAGTCTTCGTATTATCTATCTATACGGCAATCACCTGTATGAAAATCAACACTTTTGTAACTTCCTGGTTTCCCTGAAGGGAAAACGCTATGTAGGCTGCAATTCTGGTTGAGGTTCAAGATTCTGGAGTGTTCTAATTTGCATGAATATCCAGAACTCATCCAGCTAATGGGGACTCTACAGGACTTCCAAGACCTTCATTTATAAGATCACCACCAACTTGCAGTATTACTCTGATAAATGCATACGACTGTAGTAGTGCGGTGCATTCAGATTTCAGTTAACATATATAATGAACATCTTAAAATCAAGTAAATAAGATAGTTAGCATTACTATTTCCATGGATCGGACATACCACTCATTTGCTTCTGTATCAGTAAAGCTATGTGGGATCAGCTCTCAGTCTACATCCAAATGTGAATATCAAACAACATTCTATTTTATCCAAATTTCTCTTTCAAGATACGTAGGGGTTAAACTGCCATTCATCTCTATACTGTCTGGGCTACTCCAGATGTAGACAAAATCCTTTGCATAGAAAGGATCATAAGGGTCTTGAATATGAATGTAAAATGAGAATAATTTAATATGAAAAACAATTATTAAAAATAATTCGATGGCATCTAAATTACAAAAAAAGCAGCATCTTGCTGATGATCTCCACAGAGAAAAACTGATCACAACACACACAGGCACACACACACACACCCACACACACACACACACATACACGTTAGAATTCTTTTCATTCAACACCCTACTCCCCTACCAAGAACTAGCAAAATTCTTAACTGAAATGAGTGCTCCTAACCTGATCCTATGTTCCCTAGATTTAAGAACTTTTTTCTTCCTGAAGCACTAGGAGAAAATAGATACCTTCTACATAGCAAAGAAAAAGCTGAGAAAAATACAAATGATCGTCAAGTCATTCATCTTTAATGATATCTAGGAATTCAATTATAATTCAAAATAATTTATCTTTAAACAGTCCCCATATTTCTTTTTAGTTTGTTTAAAGTATCATCTGTAATGCATTAAAACTAATGTCTTTTTCTTATATTCAAACCGCTGGATTGTCTTAGTGAAAGGTTGAGACAGTTCCTATAAGAGAGCAACAGATCCAAAGAGGATTAACATGTATAACAAGAGAAAAGGAATTTTCTCTTCTTTTTTCTTTCTTTTCTCTTTTATTAAAGTCTGCTAAGTAATATGTATTTAAGTACCACCGATGAAGATAAATAGATAAATAGAAATACAGATTGATAAACAGAAGATAAATAGATAAATAGGTGATGGATAGAAATGACGGATGGACAGACGGATGTAAAAATACATAGACAGATGATGGATAGAAGGTAGGTAGGTAGGTAGGTAGGTTGGTAGGTAGGTAGATAGGTAGGTAGGTAGGTAGGTAGATAGATAAAGATAGACAAGCCATCCCACTTCATTCTTCACTTTGTCTCTAATCCTGCCCCATCTGTCTCAGGATCCTACCCAACTTCATCCCACCCCAAACTCTAACTCATGTTAACAACTTTCATCTATAGTCTTCTACTCCTTTTGCCATCCTCACATAAATATATGCCAACATGATTATTTTACATATGTGGAGGGATTTTTAATTTATTTAACAAAATAAGATCATACTGTGCATGTTTCTCTCACTTTTCTTACTTAACTCTATATCCTGCCCATCCCTCCAGGATAGATAGAGATCTAACTTAATGTCTATAGTAATTAGAGAATACTTCGTATTATGAATACAGCAGAGTCTACTCAATTATTCCCTTTTAATTGTCATTCTGGTTGTTTTCACATTTTTGCAATTCAAACTCTTCTACATCAAACCCAATCCATCCTTGTGTATAGATAGCTAAGTGCTTGCATTTTTATTTATATAATATAGACTTTCAAAAGTGGAATTGTTGTATCAATAGGTATAGGAAAATGTTTTAAAGAGAGCAGAAAAATAAAGTCACCTAACTAGAGGCAATTTTTAAAAAGGAAGATCACAGAAAATGGCCCCAAACTCGAGCTGTCCTTTCTTTTCTACCTGGATAGCATTAACTTCTTAGTGTCCTAAGTTGGCTTCAATAAGCAGTGCAGCTCTTCACTTACAAATAGTGACTCACACTTGTTCAAAGGATCAGGCAGTCAGGCCCAGAACAGCTCCCCAGTGGCTCTCCTTGACTATGTGTGAGTGTAGGAAGCCCTCTCACCCAGTTCTCCTCACTCCGAGCTCTGAGGCGTCAGGAAGGCCTAGTGCTTATCCCACATGAAGAGTCCTTCCATCATCTGAAGATGGCCCTTGTGGTCCTTCTGAGTCTTCTCTAAAATAAACATCCCAGTCCTCTTCATTTGAAGCAGTTCTGAGTGGGCTTCCCCAGTCCCTCTGCCCTGAGTAGATTCTTGTCTGCTCTGTGCTTCCTCAAGCCTGGAGCCCCAGGGTTGCCAGCCTCATTCTGGACATAACTGTTGTCTCCTTTCAAGAGTCTCCTCTCAGTGTTGATTCACCCTGAGTTTGCAATAGGCCCACAGTCTTAATTCTTTTCATATTTGCTGTTGCTAAGTCACACAGAACAAGCCACTACGTTCCTGATATCTCCCTCCATTCGCTGGGATGTGATCACAGGAGAAATCAATACAAGGTGGCTCAAGATATGCTCACTATTGAACCCCTTGTCAGAGAAGGGATGGGAGCTGGCAGCAGGAAAAACAAGAGGAGGCGCTTTTCAAGTTGAACATTTTCTGTTTTATTCTACCATCATATGTGTCCTACTGTGTTTTTCTCATATCTAGCCAACATCACTGAACCCACGTCACCAATAAAAGAAAAGCTTCCCTGTAAATTGGAAGGCGCGCTCATTTCTGTCACAGTGATCCAGGAGTAGCCCCAGGGACCTGAACTGATGAGGAGGTCAGTCTTATCACCCAGGCCTGGAAAGGCCACTGGGGTGGGGACTTCTTCCTAAAGAAAGTTGTTTAAGGTTCTATTAATAGATGCAAACTTTATATTACTTTATAAAGTAGTGCTGCTAAAGAATGCTCCTTCACAAGGTTGGAACAGGCTGAAAAGATAAATAATTTCCCCCAAAATGCTGATCTAGTTATGGATGACAAGATGCATGAGGATATAGAATAATATATCTTGTTCAGCTTTTTATCCCCAGAGCTGATTATTGATAAAAGGTTGATTCTCCGAGCATGTGGATAAATAAATTGGTGAATGACAAACCCCAGGCTTGGAGGCAGACCTCCGAGGGAACACTGAGGCCCTGCCATCACATTCATCCCTTTGTCCCTCTGGCAGAATCAAAATACAGATCTAGAAAAGTTCGTCATCTGGATCACTAGAGCAATTCTTCGAATTTATATTTTGAAGCCTCTTTTCTCAGCTTCTGTTCTTCCCACTCAACAACTAGAATAAATTCAGGGACTCTGAAGTTGGTTACAATAGCTACTTCTAGAGGGAGGATTAATTCAATCAATAATTATCTATTGTTATCTTATAGATAACGGGCATAGTTTTAAATGTTGTGCAAATATTTGTTGCACAAATGTTAGCAGCTGTGAACAGACACAATTTCCATGTTTTTTTTTCCCCCGAGATGGAGTTTCACTCTTGTTGCCCAGGCTGGAGTGTAATAGCACGATCTTGGCTCACTGCAACCTTCACCTCCCAGGTTTAAGCAATTCTCCTGCCTCAGCCTCCTGAGTAGCTGAGATTACAGGTGCCCACCACAATGTCTGGCCAATTTTTTGTTTTTAGTAGAAAGAGTGTTTCACTATATTGGCCAGGCTTTTCTCCAACTCTTGACGTCAGGTGATCCACCCACTTCGGCCTTCCAAAGTGCTGGGATTACAGGCGTAAGCCACCCAAAATTCTGTCGTATGAAGTCAACCTAAGTGCCCATCAGTGGTGGACTGAATAAAGAAAATGTGGTATGTAGACATCGAGGAATACTATGCAGCCATAAAAAGAACAAAATCACATCCTTTGCAGCAACATGGATGTAGCTAGAAGCCATTATCTAAGCAAATTAACACAGGAATGGAAAATCAAACACTGCATGTTCTCACTTGGAAGTGGGAGCTAAACCATGGGTACTCGTGGACATAAAGATGGAAACAATAGACACTGGGGACTACTAGAAGAAGAAAGTAAAGGGGGCAAGTGTTGAAAACTAACTATTGGGTACTATCCTTAGTACCTGGGTAACAAGATCATTCATACCCCAAACCTCAGCATCATGAAAAATATCCAGCTAATTAATAACATAGTAACCCTTGAATCTAAAATAAAAGTTAAAAGGAAATCCTGTCTTCATCAGTGGGGGCCATGTGTGTACCTATGCAACAATCCTGCATGATCTGCACATGGACCCCAGAACCTAAAGTACAATAAAAAATAATAAATCAAAATAAATATGTGAAATACCAGGACATTAGAAGGTCATATGTGCTATGGAAAAGAAT